GAGAATAATGATACCTATCTGCTTTTGTAAGAGGATGCTGGAATTATTACTGAAATTCTAACCTACTTCTTATTTCATTTTGGGATTTCAAAAATGCTTGCATCTGCCACACAGGGTCCTTTCAGCATGACAACACCACTAGCACTGATCTTCCAGTGTGAACTTCCTTGGTCCTTTTCACTGTATAACTGTTAAAGCAGACTCATATTCAGCCACTTTTCCTTGTAAAAACAAACACCAAAACCAAAAAAGCACCAGCATTAAGCACATCTGTCCCTTACAGAGCAGCCAGCTGTACTGTCAAGACTGTATTGTACTGCTCAAGGATTTTGTAAGAGAGGATTTTGTTTCATGGGCTTTGCCTTCCCATCATTGCAGCACAACAGTGAAATCATCTGAATAACTGATGAACTGGAATGCTTTCACGTATATGTTCTTAAGGAAATCCAGCAATTGAGTAATTCAGAACTGATACATTCTTTAAATCCACTTTAAAATGCAAAGAGGTGGAGAGATTATATACCAGGTTGAATCATAAAACAGGACAGAGTTCAATTTTAGATTTTTAAATAGGACTGTAACTGAATGCAAATGCATACTGTTTGTAAAATAGTGCACACTGCAGTCCTAAGAAAGAGACAGGAGAGAATAGATCTGCCTGTCACTATCACCATGGTGGTGGTGGTGGTGGAGAGGGAAGGTAAAACCAACACAAATCTGAGCTGATTAATGTAGGTGAAACTACTTTACAAAGATGTAGTCTTCTTGAATTAAGATTTAAAAAATACTAATCCAGAAGGCAATATAAAAAAACCCCTAGACTTAAAACCAAGCTGGACAATCTTCAAGTGAAAACACAAGTTTTTAAACTATAAAACAAATAGCACATACCAAGATCATAAAGTAATTTTGAAACTGATACTAAAGTATTGACCAAAATACTGGTCAGCAGCACAGCAAAAGTTGCACAAGTCGCAAATTAAAAGATAGCTCAAGGAGCACCAAGTGAAAATCCCCGTTTCTAGGAGAAGGTCTCAAGTTGCTAAAATATGTCTAGGTTCACTGACTTATTTAGAGCCAAACAAATGGAAAGAGAACAGATGAATTAGAGGAATGTTCCTTGGAAAACAGCTGCTGCCTTTTTGTGTGTAAAACTAACATTTATAAAACTGGGGCTTATCTTGTCAAGATGAGCTATGCAAGGGACAGATATCAAATATATACATGCAGCTTAAGTGTACATTCACCTTACCATTTTCAGATCTGGCAATTTTCTTCCTACTCTTTAAGATATACTTTTATGCTAAAATATATCTATAAAACAGATGCAAAACCATTTTTCAAAAGCAGCAATAATGAAAGGTTATATAATGTAAAAATTCCATTGCTATCCTATATAATGAGATGAGGCGTTTAAATTTCTTTTGTTGATCACACTATATAAGAAGTAGCTTTCTTAAACAAGTAGAAACTTCACAAAGCAACAACAGACACATTTATGTTGGAAAGATGATAACTCATTCAAAACAGAGGAATGTGGTCTATAGTGAAACAACTGTATAAAGATTATCAATTCTGACTGACAACTGTTTCATTTTTCTGAGTCGGCATTGAAATTTAAAGTACATCTAAAGTGCAGAAGTGTAGTGTTTGATAAAAGCAACACAGGTTGGAACAGCATACTAAAATAATGCTGAAAGATATTTGAACTGTGTGTTTTAAGTGTTTACAATCGAGTCCCTTTTCATTTCTCAAGTTAACTGAAAACAGGATTTATTCATAAAGTGAGAAAAAAATCTCAGGACTTCTAGAACTATTACATTATTTGAAAGTAGCTGTGAAAACTATTGCTAATAATTTTTTATATTCTATAACACCGTAATTTGGGTGGGCAGCTAGTCAACAGCTGCAAGCCAGAAGGAATGGTACCATGTTTATGATACAAGCTGCTTTTTTGCATGCGCTGCCTTCATAGTTTTTACAATTTAATTCACGTTTAGAAGCAGTCCTGATTAGAATGTCCAAAAACACTTAGTCTGGCAACTGTTTGGAAGACCACCATAAGTACTAACTAAAAGACATTTTTCCCTAATATGATCTGCTTCTCCCCTACTACTGCTCATCTCACTTCCTGAAATTGGTTTAACCACCTGCTACATATTGTTTAAATACTACTTTATGAGTTCTGAGGCAGGGACTGTGTTGGTTATTTCTTCATGGAGCACTGAGTGCAATGGTGCACTAATACCCTGTTTAGAAGCCTTTAGGCAATACAAGAGAAGAATAGCAACATCAGTAATAATTAGATCATGATATTTTAAGAGCCATTCTTTCAACCTTGCTACCAGTCTGAAGCTCTATAATAAAATTTAGAGTTCTAATTTGGTGAAAAATTGGAAAAAGTCTCACATAACTATTACTGTATCATGTTTATAAAGCAAATAAATGAACAAAATGAAGTAAAAATCCTTAGGAAGTTCCTGCCTTACTTGACTTGTTTGCCTCATCTTAATCTAGCGACATGAAAACAGCTTCATCGGGTCAGACTCAGGATACATCTAGAGCAGCCTGACAATCTGAGAGCAGGTGGTGTCAGATACTTCAGAGAAAATGAAATTCAAGAACCCCTATCTTTGGACAATTACAAAAAATATTTTCCTTTTACAAAACAGTTTGGGATATGCAAATGGACTGAAATATCCCTTACACATTTCCTCCTATATAGAAGTTTAATCTATTCTGAAGTTTTATAAAGGTGCCATGATGCTATCAGGGATTGATGCTCTCCATAGCTAAATCATGTATAGCACTATTTTGAAAAGCACACCGACGTGGACATTAAGAAATGTGACTCATGTGTCATTAACCTAATATACTCATATTTAGGAAGTTGCCTCCCCACTTTGAATGTTAGTTTCCCCTCCTACCCTTGACTGTCATTTCTTTTTAAATTTTAACACCTTGAGGGCCAGGATTACAGCTCAGATCCTCAAGGATACTTAATTCCCATGAAGATCATGCACCAAAATACTTTTGTGCATCTGTGTCTAGTTGATAAAGTCCAAAACAATAGAGCTTCTTGGTATCAGTAAGCACTAAAAAAGTGCATAAAGATATACAGTGAGAGTGTTCCAGGTGGAATGGACAGCACAAACACAACAATTACCCACAACTACAGAGGTAGAGATAAAGGTGAGGAAGATGCACAAATCAAAGACTGGAGTAAGTTTGTTTTAGGTCATAAAGTGGCAAGGATTTTTTGTGATATCTTTTATTAGACCGGCTGTATAGTTGGGATTGCTGCTGGACAGGCTTTCAAGAATCAACTGCCTTTTCCTCAGGTCATAAACTGGATAAGAAAAGTCCATGCAGAACTTAGAATATCTGGAAGAGTTTACAGAATGAGGAACATCAGGGTGCTGGTTTCTTGTGAACGTTTAGCCATATCAATCTGGATCAGCACCACAAAAGTCTACAGAGATGCATTTCTGAAGCGTGTTAAAGATTAATGAATGCCTTTTTAGCTCTGGAGTGTTACATTCAAAATGACTGGAAATTTATTTTATTTATTCGGATCTGTGTCATTTGTATTATAAAAAGGTTGGAAAGAAATTAATTGCAGCAAGGAGCTGCAAGGGGTTTTTCTCATTTTAATATATGATAGACTGAACAAATTTTTCATGCTTATATTAGCTGGTATCTAGGGCCTCATCTACGACGAATCACACAGCAAAGTTATGATTAATGAACTATGGCCATTACATGAATATGCATATGTTCAAACATATTAAACTGTCGCATTATTAGCTCCAGTGAAACAAATAGCTTACTCCAGCTGTCCACAGAGATAATCCAAAAACTTCCTCCCATACTCATTTTTAGCTGCAAGCATGTTAAAGCTATTAGACTACTCTGGGTGGCTGGCATGTTTTCTTCAGGCATCTTTACATGTGCTGCAGGGTAGGGGCGTTTTAATTAGACCAGCTCTCGGGAGCCGTCCTAATTAAAATGCCTACAGCATCTTGTGTATTCAGTGTCCCCACATTTCAAAATGACAGCAGGGATGTGTTGAATGAGCTTTAGTTAAAGCATCCCCACCACCATTATGAAATATGGGGATCTAGGGCTTCATCTACAAACAGTCACTCAGGAAAGTTAAGATTAATGAACTCTGTAGATGAGTCCCAAGATGCCAACGCTGCTGGAGCAGTCTAATTAAACCACCACGTGAGCCGACTGAATGCATCAGAGCAGGCATCAGGCATGTGTATAGGTGTCCTTAGGCTCTCTCATAAAATCGAGATTATTTTTTCTCTAACTTCTGAATGTGACAAAGAACGTAGATGCCTGTTTTCAAAGTCCCAACCTCAAGATTCACTTCTGTGGAGTCATTATCTGGGCCTATTCCATCACCTTTTCTCAAAACAGTTAAACCATAAATAATAACTATATGCCCTCTTTGGCCATGTTTAGACCTGCTGAGCAAAAGTAACCTAATAAATTCAATGATCATATGCATTTATAATGAAAAAAAATCATAAAATAATTAAAAGGAGTACACAAATTAGCAAAAGAAATTAGAAGAAATACTTTTAAAACCCCAGAAATCACAGCTACCTAATCCCAATCTCTGCATTTCATTAGCCTCGCTGAGTAGAAATCCATGCTACAGACCAAAAGATGTTGGGAAGAAGGCAGAGAAGAACACGGAGGTTGTGGTAACGTGGTATCTTCTGCACGGAGAGGCTTCTTTTCAGGGCTCATGTGCTGGGCAATCTACTTCCTTTTTTTGCTCACTTGGTTCCTTATCAAATATTATAAGAACCAACCACTTAGACAGCAAAAAGAAACTTTACCTAACTGTCCATCAAAAACCAAGGTTAATATAACTGGTTTAATATAATTAACCTTATGAAGTCAGCTTAAATCTCCCAAACACAATAACTTGTAGGAAGACTAAAGACAAAACACATGAAGAAGTAAGTTCATATAAGCCTTACCATCATGAATTTCAAAAGCCAAACTAGTGATCTTCTGTGTAATTATCATCATTGGGCTGTTAAATGGGGGAAAAATAAAAACATATTAGAAAAGAAGACCCATACCATAGCTTCATGTTAAATAATTAGAAGAAGATTGATTAGTGATCCAGAATGACTGTCAACAAACTAGAAGACTGTCAACCGGAAAGGTAAGAAATGTCTAACTGTTAGAGCTCAGATGCATAGAAGTACATAAATCTAAGACTTAGATTTATACTCTAAGGAAGACATGTCTTAGACGAGGCACCTGCAGAGTCAGGATATAACCATTCCCTGGAAGGGATTAAATAGCTTGGTAAAGTTATGCGTATATTTTGTTGAACTGGGTCATACACATACGAACAAGTAGCAGAATTTTTTCTACAAATGTACCTGAAGATCATTTAAATTTCTTTGCTTTTTTTTTTTTTCCTTTCTTTTCTTCAGTGGGAAAAGGAAGGAGGAAAAGGACACCGAAGAACATTTCTCCATGTTCTATCTACTGGCAGCAATATGCACAGGACAGTAGATATAACAGCAGTGAATATACAGCTGATTCTGCTCAAATAAACACTCTTGAAAATATGCCTCAAAACTTAGTTTGGCTCCATTCAATCCAAAGACATTTAATAAAATATAATGAAATTGCCTTTGAAAACAAAAGTAATTATGACTAAACAAAAGCACTAAAGAAAATACCAAAAAATGAAGCAGAACATAATTCCTGTGTGTCACATACAGAAATCTTGGTACATCTAGTTTTTCCTGTTAATACATTTCACTGACTTCTGTTTTAAATTATTTACAACCATACTGGACAGTAAGCATTCCAAGCTGGAATATTTAATAAATCATCCTTGTTTGTTCCAGTTTCCAAACATTTAGAATTTTCATCCAACTAACAGGAAAATATTCTATACAGTAGGGTATCATACCAATTAATTATTGCAGAAATATTGGTGGGCTGACTGCCATTAACTAGGGGTGCATTAATAAAGACTTTTTTGGCTGATACCAATGGCTGATTATTAACCAGCCATAATCGACCAATACCAATTCAAAAGCCAATATGCAGCCCAGCAGCTCAGAAAGCAGAGTCTGGCCAGTAAGTCTGCGGGGCATGGAGGCGGAAAGGGGCATGGGGGGAGGTGCAGATCGAGGCCCCCCCATGGTGAGGGAGGGAGGGAGGGGCATGAGGTGGGTGTGGCAGGGGCAGGGGCTGGCCAGCCAGGGTGGGGCATGGTGCAGGACAGAGCCTCAGCTGGCTTGTCCGGGAGGCAAGAGGAGTGGGGACAGCTCCCGCCGCTGTGCACACTGCCAGAGGAGGCATGAGGACATGTGCCCCCCTGGATGTGTGTGTGGGGTGAGGGTGGGCTGCCCACTGTGGGCTCCAGGACCAGGGTCTGCACTGGCCTCCTCCCGGCAGGAGGGCTGGGCTGGGGCTCCACTCAGGGCAGGCAGGGGCAGTGCTGGGGGGAGGGCTACAGGGGAGGCTACAGTTGTCCCCCCTCCCCAGCCCCTCTGGACAAGTTGCCCACAGCTCCATCCCATACCCCATCCTGGCTGGGAAACACCTGCCCCAGCCCCATTTCCTCCCTCACTGTGAGGACCTCAATCTGTGCCCATGACCCTTCCCTCCCTCATGACCCTCCCCGCCCTCACAGACTCTCCAAGCTTCTGGGCTGCACTCTTGGCCATGTGCATGCTGCAGCTATGTACGTGGCCTTTATCGGTGACATTATCAGCTACACCAGCCAAAAAAAGCTAATTGCCAATAATGTCAATTTTCCTTCTATTGGTGCTGATCCAATATGGACCGATATATCGGTGCACCTCTTCCATTAACCATCAAGTAGTATAGTGGCAAGACTGGTCTAGAAAGACTGGAAGCCAAAAATATGGGAGGAAATAGATATTATCTAACTTAACTGATCAGTGACAAATCATAAACTAACAAAACAAAATCCTTATAGGAACCAACATATTGTCCTGCTTTGGCCACATCTTAAGGTGGAAATCAGGATAGGCTTTGGTATTTTATACATACAACTAATATGCCTATTTAGATTTCATTTGAATGGAAAAAGTTCACCAGTCATGCAGGGGAAAGAAAGATACACAGTACAGATACTTTCCTCCTTTTAATAATTTATGTTCAAAGAGGATCACACATTGGTAAAGGTGTTTGCTCATTGATGGGATATATGATGTCATGTCACAGGCACAGCTGTGTGGTTCTTGACCTTCCCCTCAATGAACTGTTTATAATTTGCTATGCCATTTCCCCTTTTCACTTATTTATTTTATTGCATGATAACAAGTTTGTATTAACTTGGACTTTAGCTTGAAAGAACCTATTGATTGTTTACAGGTTTTAAAAAGTTACAGGTACCTTCTCATTGTCTAAAAACAAAGTAGTAAAAAATACAGGAAATTCAGAATCAAGTTAAATACTGGCATTTCTTTTGGGTGTAAAACTACAGAAAAACACAATGAAAGTGCGCAAAGGACCTGAACAAGCTTAAAACAAGCAAACAGAGGAACTGCACACAATAGAAAGCTACTAATACATCTCTCAGCTATGCAGCAGGGAGCCTGTTTGCCTTAAAATTCTAATTGGCTATGCTAACACAGGACTAAAACAGCACAATTTATACCTATGGACTTTTACCCCTAATTCTTTCAGGCTAGAGACAGACATTATACATAGACCAGTTTAAGTGATCGGAAATTGGTTTAAACCTGTAACAGAACAGATATTCAGTGCGTATAAACCAGCCTGAAAATGGCTGAAATTGGCTTGAGATAAAGCTGGTTGAATGTAATATTAGACTTAACTGATTTGGGTCAAACCAGTTTATGCAATGTCTGTCCCAGACTCCTTCCTGGTTTAAGTTAAATCAGAGTCCCCCAGCATCCCGGCATGCTCTCTGGGCTGGGCTGGGCTCTCTGCTCCAGACAGCTGAGCTGGCCCCTCTGCTCCAGAGAGCTGAGCTGGCCCCTCCCCTCTGCTCCCTTGCTGAATCTCCGGCAGAGACTTGCACGCACAGCAGCATCTGCCTGGCCTCCCCTGCCCCACCCCACCCTTGTTGCTCAAGCAGGGATCCCCCTCCCTCCTCTCTCCCACAGCATGGACCGTAGCCAGCATGTGGTATGCTAGCTGATGCTGAGAGGTGTCTGGGTAAGGCAGACAGGACAAAGGCAGACAAGACAGTGTCCACTCAAGTCTTTTGGAGCTAATCAACAGGTAGCTAGTAATGTCCCTCCTTGGAATGTTTCCCTTCCTTGGAAAAAGCTGTTTAAGAGGAGCTTGAACTAATGAGAGGCTTTGTTTTCTGATGGGGTGCTAAATGCTGATAACAGAACTGATAAATGCTCTGTTATCAAGGTGGGGAAGGAACCCTTCCCTAATCAGCGCATCCTGCTGGAGTCTGACCACGACCCCCTCAGCTCAGCAGTGTGGAATGGAAAGGAGGGCTGCTCTAGCACCCCCTGCCTCCTAGCCTGAGCCACTGCCTGAAGCATGTGCCTGAATTTCCTCAATCCAGAGGGGATGTCTGTACAGTTACAAACCAGTTCAGCCTAGCCAGATTAAACTAACCTGCAAAGATTGAATCAATTTTGGATCAGGCTTTTTGAACGTCTGTCCCTAACTTCAGAGGTAAGGCTCCATCAGATTAGGCAAAATTATAGCTCAGCATCATTTGTCTTCTACTTTTACCTTGATGTATTTTTTTACACTAGAGCTGGAATTTCATCTGTCTAGGGCTAAACACTGGTAATTCTACCTTGTAACAACATCACAAAAGAGTGAAAATATGAATATAAAGTTTTTCAAGTTTAGTCTAAACTAAACTTAGTCTAGGTCACAAGCATTAGCAGGCCTTAATCATAATTACATTCTTACTGCAGGCCGTCCCAAAGAAAAGATTTAAGGTCACTATTGCATTAACACTAGAATACCTACATTGGTTTTAAAAATTTACATGGCTTCCTCTTCCACAGTTCTCTATATTCCTACTTACACTCACCAAAATAAGCAATGTTGGAGACTACTCCTCTGGGGCAGGGGTGTCAAACTCACACTGATCCCCAGGCCAGACCCAGACCATGGGGCTCCATATGGCTGGAAGTGGTAGAGACAGCAGAAAATGCAGTGGCAACGGCAAGGGTTGTAACAGAACAAGTAGTGGCAAGGCCAGTCTCTGCCATGTGCCGGAGCTGGAGCCCCCTTGTGCCCTGTGCTACAGTAGTAGCTCCACCTCTGGCTCCAGCACAGAGGATGCGCAAGGGGAGCCACTGCTGTGTAGCTCTTCTGCTGCTGTCACCACAGCCACCTCCACCAAGTGCTCTGCTGCCCCCCTGCCTCCGCATGTCCCCAATTTCCACAGTTTGGCTGGTAGTCCAGTGGGCCACGTACAGTCTGCAAAGCTGCTCTATAGTTCAAATCCCTGAACAACTAAACTTTTAGCTATTAAATGCCCAACATCTGGAATTCCCTTCCTAAAAGCAGTAGGAATGTGATGTATTTATTTAGATAATGGTGACTTAAGAGTTAGCAGTACCTCATTTTACAACACACCCCAGCTTGTAGAATTTTTAATCAATGGTGTATTGTTCAAACTCTAGTACCTACCTTATGCTGTATTCTGCTATACTAAATGCATATTGGGAAATGCCAGTCTGTCCATCACATGGCATGAAGGTGACAAACAAAATAATTATAGTGCCACAATCCTCTAGCAGTTAATTAAGAAACAAGCAGGAAGTTAGATATAAAACTAATGTTGCACTATATTAAAAGACACACACAGGGGGGTTAAGTACAGCTCTTTCTTTTAAAAAGAGTGCCAAAACAAAACACCGTATGTTAACCAGAGTCTGCAGAGTATGTTCCAAATAAACAGAAAAAGCTCACCAGCATTTTGTTCTATGGATAATATTTTTAGTCTTCAAAAACAGCCTGATCAATATGATGCCCACTATTGTGTGGGCCATACTGGAAAGCAGAGGAAAGAGTATGGCATTTCCAACTCTCAGACAATTTTGCCCTTCAACACGGGGATTTTCTCCTACCACCTCTTGCCCCACTTTTTTAAGGAAAAGACCATCTGAAATAAATATCAAAAGGGAGTTGGATTCAGTACAGGTTCAGTCTTGTTGTGGATGGTAACAGGGAATTCAGGGCAGATGAGAGCCACTCTGTACTTGATGCCTTCATCAAGGAATGCAAGGGGGCACAAGGGGCTGGCTCAGCAAGGACAGACAGGGCCATTAAAGGATTCCATATTCATATGCATGTAGTATACATACACCTCTCAGTGTCCATGCTCAAAAAGGAAATGGTACACACTCACTGCGTACAACTAAGCACACACAGTCAAATTAAACAAAAAAAAAAAAAGAGTAAATACAGTAACATATCAAGCAAGCTTTACTATACGTCGATGGGAGGGAAAACTAAAATATATAATTTTCTTCTTACCCAGAAAAATCAGCAGAATATTGTCCATAATCAAATATATAGACTCTAGTAATTTGGCACACAGTGAGGTATCCCAAAGCAAAAACAAAGCAACATCTGAAAAGGAAAAAATAAACAGTTATGTTGGATTTAATCATTCAAAAGGAAAAGCAGCAACCAATGAAAGCTTATTCCTTCAGCATTCCAGATTACAAGTAGTTTGTGTTTGGATTAAAACAGTGGCACTCAACTCATCTGCCCCTGCAAACTCAATCCAGTACGTGTACCTAGTCCACAGCAATTGGTGCTAACCTGGCGACTCTGCTGCAAAAAGTCCAGACCTGTGGGAAGCACTGCAAGCCAGATGACATGGCTCCACAGGCCACATCTTAGTTGTCCTTGAACTAAAACACATCAGAAACCCATTCCTTATGTTTGAACTATTAGGTATGGTCACTTATTTTTTCATTGTTTTAGATGAACATTACCCAATTTCAAGTTTTCATATGACCAGTTTATACATATCATTCCAGGGTATGTTTAAAAGTTATTGACTGTGATAGGATAGGAATATCCTACGATTCATTTTTAATATCCTGTCCTACCCTACGATTCATTTTCTATGAGTGCGCAAAAGAAAAAAATATCTAGTGTAGCAGTTTATAGTGTGTTTATTCATATGAAGAGAGTCATTCAAAGTGCCATCGTAAAAAACTACAAGGGCGGTAACGATGAAAAAATCCATTTAGCAACTTATCCTGTTCTTTCCCTTTTCCCCAAAATTCAAATTAACAAAAAAATTAATATAAAACTGTATGAAGTAATGTGTCGATTAAGATCTTTCTCAATAAACTGCATCAATTCTACTCCATGAACACCCTGAATCTCACTGCAGCTGTTGATGGAGGGATTAAATGAAGCAAATAATTTGTTTCACAGGCACATTAGTGCTTTTTTTTCCTTGAAAAAAATAACCATATATTTTCTCTCAAATTAAGTCTAAGCATTCAACTAATGTTAGTAAATTTATAGATTATAGAAAGAATTCTATGCATTTTTTATATTATACACACAGACGCATGCACACAATTTTATATATGTGTAGATAAATGTGTTTGTGTACACCGCACAAATGTGATTGTGTGTGCATGTATGCATGCGTGTGCATGCATGCACTGCCCTTCCCCCTCAGGGGCAGGAAACATATAGCCTGCAAGGCAGATCCAGTCCACCAACTGATCGGATCTGGACTATGGCTGCCCCTGCCTGGTGCTCTGCATGGGGCCAGGCCCCACCTGCTCCCACATGGGGCAGCCCATGCTGTGCTTTCACCCACACCTGCCAGCTCTGGCCAGCACACAGCTTCCTGGTTGGGCTGCTCTCAGTGCAGCTACAGCTGCCTGGGTACTGACTGCCCCTGCCCCGCTCCAGCAGCTCCTCCTCCTCTGACTGCTGCTCCACCTGGAGGTGGAGGAAAGCTGCATCTGTCCGCCCAGCACAATAAGCAGCCATCTGCTGGTGGCCAAGTGGGTGGAAGTGAGCTGGGAGCTGGAGCAAGAGCTGAAGCCCCATGCACTGGGGCAGGAACTGCCCAGCTGTAGCTTCCCCCCAGCCAAGAGCAGAACAGCAGGGGCAAGAGGAGGAGGAGCTGCTGAAGATGGGGGGAGCTGAGTAGTATCCAGGCAGCTGCAGCCTTACCAAAGCAGCCCCCACCAAGGAGATGCACGTGTTGGCTAGTGCTGGGGCCAAGTGTCAGCAGGAGGGCAGTGCAGCCTGCCCTGGGTGGGAGCAGGCAGGGCTCAACCCCATGAGAAACACTGTGGGGGTATCCACAGGATGGATGGGGGAAAGAAAAGGGGAAGGAAGGAGGACAGAATGCACCTGCACCACAGGGCCCGGGTGAGCTGTGCTGCATGTGCCCCTTGCCCCTCCCTGTCTTCCACCAGCTCCCGGGACCTAGTACACACAATCGTGTGTGTGTGGGTGCGCGCGTGTGCACACACAAAATGCTTATTTTATCTATGTATATGTAAATGTACATGTATATACACATATCATCTTGTATGTGCAAGTGTGTATGTATGCATGCATGCATGCATGCACGCATGCATGCACACACACACACACACACACACCCTCCCTCCCTCCCTCCCTCTACAGCACATATCAGTTTATATGCAAGCTTTTGGAAAGATCCATCCATTAACAGGATTTGGTACTATATAAATATAGTTCTGTTAATACAGATTCCAAAGTGTGCTAGTTAAGTACCTTCACTTTACATGTAAACTGCTGCCAAGGAATTAGCCTTAAACCATAATCTTTCACTTTTGTCTGCAATTTATCATCACAAATAGTTCCACAGATTTCAAAAGGGACTATTTGCGGTAATAAAATTAAAGGATCTGCTAGACATCTGCAGCATACATCAACAACGTAAGCGAGGATGAAAGGAACTAGAAGACAAATGAGATAGCAACAGGTACTTAAAAAAACCCTTGTTGGTGTTCAGAAAACAGCATTATAAATAAAATCTTAGCAAAAAAGCATATTATATCTGTGAAATTGTAGGATTCAAAATAACATTTTTAATATAACAAGATCTTAAACTGACACAATCCCTCTACACTTTTATTTATATACATTATACAATGCTGAATTATTTATTTGAGCTAAATAATTCAACATTTTTAGATTTATGGTGCATCTGATCTGACTTAGAAATAACTTATACATTTTCTGGATTACTTATTCTAGTAAAGCTGAAACCAGCATGAATTAGGAGATAAAAAGATAAATGGCATGAAAGAATTTATTATAAAAAAAAACTGGCTGGAAACTGGCACAAAATAGTTAGGTACCAGTAGGTAGTTTGTTGCTATGTGCACCTTTACTTCTCTCAGATTAGTCCTTTCTTTCATTAAAATGTCATGTTCTTCAGTCTGAATGACCTATATATCTACGTTTTACACAGCTAAATGAAGATTTACAGATGAAGCAGTTTAGAAAAAGATGCATCAAAACAGAAACTAGAGAAGATAATTAAGCTATTTTTCTTTCATGAAGGTAAAAACGTTTTTAGCTTGCAAATGAAACAAGCTACGTATTACAGAAGTGAATCCATTATTAGCCAGCCTGTCTCAAGTAAGTTACAGACATGCTGAAAAAAATATAATTGCAAACATAGCAGTACCACAACTTTCATAATTCAGACTAGTACCATATGAAACGTCTGTTAGATGGGGAAAGAATTGTATTTGCATATATCTGTGTTTTAGGCAGTTGAATTGAGAGGGAAGGAAAGCAGTACCAGTTTTTATTTTACACAGTAATAATTGTAATAATAAATTCATAACTATATTTAAAAGACTAAATTATGAAGACCTACTGTTACACCAGGGAAATTTATATTATATAAAACCTACACTGAAAGAACATTGTGATCACAAGGTCAACTGAAAAGTTAGGAAACCTAACCTATAACCAACCCCTTTGTATGCAAGCACTACATTATTCACCTTAAAATTACAAGGTCACACAGTACTGCCTCTACAGGACGCGTCTCATTCAAGCAATGGATAATTATTCAAGATTTTTTTTTAAATCTCTACATTCAATATTTGGCCTCAGGGCTTATTTAAAGCATGTCTTCCAAACTGCACACTGAAGACAGTTAACTGTGTTCTCTTGGACATTTCTACATTGTATTCACCAAAGTAATAGTGAGCACAAACAACAAGCCCCATGATCATATAATGTTAGGAAAAATACGCTATAAGAAAAGCCACCAGCTCCTCCTATAGCAGGGGCAGGCATTAATTTTGACTGAAGGGCTGCTTAATGAGTTTTGGCAAGCTGACAAGGGCCACAAAGGTAGTCCTACCCCTTAACAGGTGTCCCACCCACTGGCCATCTTGGGACCAGAAGTTCCATCTCCTAACCTCTGACCTTTGCCACCAGAAGACCCTCCCCTTGCCCCCAGAAGTACTCCTTTTGGGAAGGGGGTATGCCATCTTGAAACAGTATATAATTTGTTTTTTTCCCAAAAAATCAAACATTGACAATAGCATATTTTAATTTTATTAAAAAAATATTTTTGTCCTGATTTTTGTATGTTTTGTTGTATATATAGAAGTGATTGCATAATAGCTCAAAATGAAGTCTTACTCTTGTATATTGGGGAAGGGGAAGGGTGGGTGGGTATGGGATTTCTGGGGGTAGATTTAGGTATGTGTGTGGATGTGAGTGGGTGGGTATGGGGGATTTGTGGGGATGTGCGAGTATGGGGTTTGTGGTGAGCTGTGGGGTATTTGGAGGGGGAAGGTGGTTGGGGGTGTGCATAGGGGGTGTGGGTACATGTGTATGTGGTAGGATGAGTGTAGCAGTGCATGGGTCTCCCCCCAGAGATG